GAAAGTATTAATTAAAACAAGCCTGTGGGGCAAGCTTTTATACAATATCTGAGATGGGTTTGATATATATGTATACAAGTATTTATATTGATGTACGATTTTATATTAATATCACATGATTTCATACAGCCAGAAAATGCGGAAAAATGAAAACCTTCGATAGAAATGACCATAAATCTTGTATAATATTTATACATTCAAATAATTTAACCCAAACATACTTGAACAAAAAGTGATATTTTGGTCTTCAGTTATGCCACCAGTGGAGTCGAGAGCCAGGCCAACCTGCAAATGATACGGAATCTGACCACTGGGCCAATACTGTTGGTAACTTAAATTTTGTATTTTAATATTGAATGCCTTTAACTCTACATGGACTTTTCCAAATTCAAAGCAGGATAAATTCAAAAGTTCTAATTCATTAAATTTTGAAATGTCAAAGTTGTGAAAAATTCTTTGATGGCATCGTAAAATTTGTTGTATGTATCTGAAAAAAATATTGTGTGTATTAAAGAAAATTCGTATTTTCTTTTCACAATCAATAATAATCAATAATAAATAATTTCCCTATTTATTTATTTATTTTCAAAATTCTGTTAAGACACATTAATATTTTATGTACTGCATGTACATTGTATAATTCATTATCTAAAAAATTATTTTCCTTGTTTCTGCTGAAACTTATTAGCTAGAATAATAATATTGTTTTGTTTCTTAATTAAAAAATTTAATTTACTAATGAATGTAATACAGTACTTTGACTGTCAAAATATTGCCATGAAGATATTACAATTTATTTTTAAGTTTGCAATGGTGCAACTTTTCATTTATTTTATTTTCATAATTGATAAAGAAATATAACCAAATCACCAGCAATAATTGAAGATTAAGTCAGTTAAAAGCATACTATATAATTAAACTGATCATTTAAACATAATTATTTTACATGTACATGTAGTCTGACCTGTGATTGTCCTGTATATAATATTTGTAATATATATACTTATGCTATTCTTATTAATATTATAAATTTCTAACCTTTTTTTACAACCTTGACATCCCTGACATTTTTCTTATATCCTAGCTTTTATATATTTTTACAGGGTGTCCGTTTGACCCTTGAAATGACTCTAAATTGACCCTTCAAATTTCCAAAAGGCCTAATTTGACCCTCAGAATTTTAACTGGAGGGTCAAATTTTGTTAAAATCATGGGAATTTGTCCTTGTACTCTGAACTTGTAGTTAGTAAAACTTAGTCAAAATGACCCTCAGGATTTCATGGCTAGTGAACACCCTGTTTTTATAATTTAATATATAAAAAAAAATTCTCAAAAAACATAACAATAATAAACTGGGAAAAACAGCCTCTGGTTAGCAGGACGATACATGTACATGTATTTGGTCTTGGCAGATTGGGAGACTCTTAGTTGAACTTTTTTAATTAAACTGACCTTTAATTGTATGTTTTAATAAAAAATCATATTAAATTTTTGACTGCTCCTGGTAAACTATAAAACTGACCTATATATAGCTGTGAACTGTAAACTAAGCTGGCTGCCAGGCCCTGGCAAATGATATAATAACTTATTCTTAGAACTGAAACAGTACACCGTGAATAATTACCGTAAAGTTTGACCGAAAGTTTTTCAAACCTTTTTGCAATGTCTCAGTTCAATGTCCTTCCACTGAAAATTGTATAAAATGCCACTTGGAGATGTCAATAAAAATTTGTAAAAAACAACTTAATGAATCGTCAGTTTATCCAGACCAAGATTATAAACTTAAAGTATATTGACTGACGTATGTAAGCAAAATCTTTGGATTAGGTCAGTTTAGGAGGATATAAATTGGATCAGTCTCTGACCCAGATTAAGTACATTTGTTCGTCACGCGTGTATGAAAAAAAATGAATAATTAATTGTTACAAAATGACTTTTAATTATATACACAGGATGTTCATAAAAAAAAGAATACGTACAATATGTTTGAAAACTGATACGCACTTTTTATACCATACTGTTCCTTATAAATTTATTTCTTAAATAATAACTCTTCATGGAAATCATGGGTTTAAACTTGTATTAATTATTCAATTACATGTATAAAATAAAAGTGGTATAAATGTACATAGACACAAGTACTCTTCTCAGACTTTGAGTTTGAGGTAATGGTATTTGGTCATTCAGGTTTGGGTAAGGGTACTCTGAGAGGGTTATCTGATTGTAATTAATGACAATTCAGAGAAAAGTAAAATTAGTAAATCTTTATATGATTATCTGTCCTTATTATGCCACTATATACATCTTTCTTGTTTCAGTGTGTGGGTTTTTGCGACATTCTGATAAATAATTATAATGAGAGAAAACCATACCTTTTCGAGAGGGTTAAAAATATGGTTCCTTTTTCAAGCCAAAAGTAAAAGACACAGAAATTTCAATCTAACAATTATTTTATTAATTTAAGCTATAATGAATTATGAAGTTTATATATATGGCGAATCTAAGCTCAAAATTAGTTAATTACTGGTGTAGGAAGACCTTCGATCGAGCCGATCTATAAATATTAAAGCACCAGGGTAGAACCATCACTGCCTTTAAATAGTCTTACAAATGTAAAGGTTGCAAGCGTCCTCAGAAAATTAATATAAAGAGAGTGAAAGGATTGAAGATTCAAACCTACATTAAAAAGGGGCCTCTTTGTTACCGTACATATGTCAATGACCTTATCCCCACTTATTACTAAGGCTAACAATTATAATATACAATGTATGTAATTTGCATCTTCACTCAACAATATGTAACATAACCTAATTAAAACAGACTTAGAAATGACTTAGCGCATTCATTAGGACATTACCATAGATGACATTTTCAGCTTTTATTCACAAAAGAATAACAATGACTGAAATCTCTTATTTCACAAATTTACTCTTGTATGCGACATCCTGTATAATAATACATAATCTGTCCATCAAACCTTAAATAGCAGATGAAAGGAATAGCCATTTTCCTTGGTTTTATAACTTATTTTTAAACAAAATTAAAGCATTGATTTATACATATTTTTCCCATTTAAACAAAACTTTACAATGTTTTTCAAATTCAATACACATGGGCATGCAAAGGATAACATATGTTCATTATATACATGCATTCTTCGAGTAAAACCTCTCAAATTGACATCACACTATATTAAAGCATCCTTAGAAACTAAGTAACTTTATGGCTTTTTAACTTAAGGTGATACATCCATCAAAAGTTTTGAGTGAAATTATCAGAATACAATGTTATATTTCATGTACCTATCTAATTAAATATTTAAGATGTTACAATATAAGATATTTATAATCATTTTAACCTTAGAACAGAACTAGAACCTGGCTTTCAAAGTTATCAAGGCAGACAGAATTGGATCCTGTTTGTCAAAATTAATAAATCGGGCAGAACTGGATCATGCCTTTTAGTTTAAAAGTTATCAAAATACAGTAGGTCTGTCAACACAAGCTCTTTAAGTTAACTGACAGCCAATTTATAAAGCCAAGCAGAAGGACATCTTGGACAACTTGGGGTTGGCAGACTGGAAGCTTGGCCTTCAATATTACAGTATATTAAGGCAGATAATAAAGGGATCCTAGCTGCATGCATATCCTAAGTCACATATATATGTAAATAGTGTCAGCTGTAACATGGCCCTTCAAGCAATTTTAAGAAAGGCCCGGTGGTTTCAAGTAGGAACAAAAGGAGCATTTTATGAAATTTGAGAAATTTTAATAGGCTAAAAAAAACTGCCTTGTACAATTATTTATAACTTTAAAAACTGTAATATTCTAAAACTGCAAATAAATATTTGAATAATATATCTTAAAATTAAAAATTTACACTACAATAATAATCATGATCCTTTACATTTTTGTTAGTTTAACATTTAATTGAAACATACTGAAATATTTACTAATATATATTTCATTTATTTCACTGACACAATAGTGTATATTACAAGATTTATAATAATATTTTCCCTTTATAAGTTGATATGTTACGGTCACAGGGCCTCATTTACATTTTCTCAATTACTTAATGGTGCGGAAATCACTCCATGGTGCAAAAAAAAAAATCACTGCATAAACAGACTTCCACATTAAAAGCTTAAACCTCCATATATGCAAATGAACTAACTTGATGTTCAATCAGATAACCGTACATACATGTACATTGTATCTCATTAAATATATGGTAGAAAAACAAACATATAAAATATTTCATGATATTTTATGATATTTTCTCTTCTTTTTTTTTTTCTCAATTTTTTATCTCCTGGATTTTGAAGAATAATCTACTTTACAGATTTCAATGTTTAAGTAGTTTACCAGGATTCATTTAATTACTTTTTTGGAGTGAAAAAAAAATGCAACTGGCAAAACTTGCTTGAAATTTTCTTAAATTGAATATAAACATATACAGGGTGTGCGGTAGACTCTGAATCTCAAGGTTCAATGATCCGCCACACAAAATTTTTAAGGATCAAATGCAAATATTCAAGGGTCAGCATATTCTGAGTATCACTAATCAGTGATCTAACGTTTTACTGATATGATAATTATAATTAAATGTATAATTAATCTCTTTTGGATAAAATTTTGCAAGAATGGTTTAATCTGGTAATTTTTAGCAAGATTTTAGAGGACCAACAAATTAACTGGCAATATGTACAGTTCTTACTCAACTGTAGTTAAAGTTGCACATTTTTTTTTTTTCCAGTACTTTGTATTTAGAATAATATACTGCAATAAATACCTAACAATAATGCATACTCTATGAACTCCAAGACACTAATTGTGAATTTGAAGCCCAGGATGTTTGAGTTTTTTTTAATATGTACTGACTTCTGTACAATTACTTTTATTTTGATTTATCTTTTATGCTATGTTCTTTTTTTCAAATCAATGCGTTTTTTTAGTGTTTAATTCATGTACATTATGTAAAAACCATAACAAACAAACCTGATTCTTTGGTATTAATGCTGGTAATGATGTTCGTCTGGTAGATCTATGTGCAGAAAACGCATGGGCAGTTGATGAACTGGAACGGCGGCGCTTAATAACTGGTATTTTCCCGTCGTGCGTCATGAAGTTATTAATAGGAGGTTTTAGAACCATTTCCATATATTTTGAGACAATATACCCTCCTAAGCCGCAAATATATGCTACGTATGGTCTTAATCCAAATGGAATAATACCCACGGAGGAACACATTAAAAAACGCGAAAAACTAACTAAAGAAATCACAATTGCGCTGTTTGTAGTCTCTAATGAAGAAAATATGCTCGCTGTACAAACTGATAGTAGAACAATAAATAATATCGCAGGACGGCTGAGGTAACCGCCATCTTGGTCAGTGTCTGGCTCGTACCGCCACTGTCCAAAGGTCAGCTGAGCGAAAGTCTCTCCAACAAAGCATGCACAAAATAAAAGATAAACACTAGTGGTACTCCATGACTTTCTGAGGTATAGTGCTACCCAGTAGAATGCACAAATTACTGTAAACATGGGTACAAATACTGAGCACAGACGCTGAAAAAACAGCCCCATGTCACACAACTGGTATATAACGAAACTAAGTCCAAGAAAAGCCATTCCGTAGAAGACACCAACATTTTCTGACACATTGGAATCATCTAAACCTATCCAATTAGCGAGCAAACTGCACAAATTACCCCTTTCTAATGGTTTTACTAACACTTGTATATAACCGTTATTATCAATTTCTTCTTCGTCTTTGGAAGAGTCGTTCTTTGACCCTCTACGAGATAAAGAATTTCTTTGGAGGGCCATTTTAGTCCTTTTCCCCTCACTCCACATTCACCACACACACAACTAACTGACAGGCGAGTACACACTTAGAATCTTGGGAAATTATCGATTTGTGTATTGAAATGCGCCCTCTAGTGGGAATCTCCGCCGTAACGCGGAAGTAAACAAACGCACGTGGCAAAATGTAAACATTGAACCAGTGACAGCGTGCAGACAGCATTCGTATCAACTTTAAATGTGTGCATAAAAAGTTTAAATACAAATTGAATAAGATTTGCAGTTTAAAAAATAACTTATTTCACCTTTAAAGAATTCGAAGGTGATTAACTCGCTATGTATTTTCAATAAACTTCAACTCAGAGTAACGCCTCTTGCTAAACAATAAGAAAATAACGATAAAGAAGCGCATTTTTTCTGATTTGCGAAATTTTATGAAATGCCCCTGGAATTATTACGTACGTATCGTACGTATAGGTGGCGCGATAGCTCAGTTGGTTAAACAACTGATTATCACTCCTTAGGTCCTGGGTTCGATCCTGGGATTTTTCAGAGACACTTTCAGTGTTTCCCACCTACCTAGAGGTGTACTGGTAAGAAATCCAGGTAATCCTCGCATGTATCAGTGCTATACACTGGGCATGTAAAAGAACCAAGGGGTATATTCAATAAGAGCTAAGGACTGGTTCCCGGATTCCCTTGTATCTTTAATGTATACAATGTATACCTGCTAAGCGTGATCTTAAACGATTTTAAAGCAGTATGATGTAGAAGTAGAAGTATTTTATAATGATCTATTAGAAACTTTATTATTACAAAAAGCAATATTTCATACTATATATATATACACACACGGATTTATATTAGTAATTAAGATACACATGTAGAGTATCTAAGTTCTTTATTATAAATCATCTAAAATAGTGTTGATCAATCTGTTTTGTAACATAAAACTGAATCCCTGGATGACTTTAAATCTTGGGCTCCTGAACTTAAAAATTTCTTAACAGTGACTTATCATAGTCGTAAGTTGTATGTGTATTATATTCTTTTAATACCTTATTATTATTATCTTTGAAAATAACTACGAAAACTGATGGCTAAAGTATGGCTAAATCATTAGTTTCTTATATGATATCTACAATAAATATGGTTGCAATACAATATATTCAGCTTATTCAAACTATCTGGAAAATGCAATGTCTGATTGGTTTGTTAAAAAAGTGGTTAATTGATGTAAAGTTATAAAGTATCATTTTACATACCTTGGTATGTGTTGTGCTCATATAATTTGCAAAATGTACAGACTTGAATTGGATGAAAACTGTAGCAGATGCTTTCAATCATTTTCTTTTTCACGTAAATGTTTCAGTTAATTGTAATACAATGTGATTCTTTAATATTTGACAAACAACTTAAACTGTTTTTATAATTCCACATCTGTTTGTAATTTATTTTTTGTCAAATTATCGTCTTTCAAACTTTCTCTTTAAAAGATCCTGACGTTAAATATGAAAAAAAACCTTTACCTGTAAATTTGCAGTATCTAACCAGTTTTGTCATTACATATAGTTCAACTTGCTGGAATCGAAAGTGATTAGCCTTTGTCACCAATATAGTGTTGGTGTTGGTAGTTTTCACGCCACATTGAATTTACCAGAGCACAGTTCAGCCACCGCATCGTTCCTTGGCAGGCTGTCAAGCAGTTGACCAGTACTAGTTGCCTTCACTTTCGCAAGGAACTGATAACTTCAGAACATGCAAGTGTAGAGGTACAGGGCGAATGACTATAGAAAGGATTTCATAGTCAATCACAATGAAAGTGACCTGCACCATTCGGGAATTGAACCCGGATCGCCCGATATCACAGTGCAACGCTCTACCCACTAGTATTGAGTAATCGAACGGTGCCTCAGTATGGAGTCTGACTAAGCTTTATCTGTTGATAATCCTTCTTAAATGTACTGTTCAAGTTTAAAGCAAGTCAATTTCAGATTATGAACGACAACTATTTTGAGGAGATTTCGTAAAATAGCTTTGCTGAAGAGATAAATGAGAAAACAATAATTAAAGACTTCAAGGTGACAGTGTCCAGAGTTCAAGGGCAGACCATCGATCTGTAAAATAACCAGAGCAATTATTTGTAAATTAGCAAGAAGAAATTATTTTGTCATGTATTCTGGGGAAAAAAAACATCGGAATTATATTGTGTAGTATTAGTCTAAAAAATAAGACTCAGTCTTCAACAAGTCAAATCATGCATGTATATGCCATGGTAAAAGAACAGCGCGTGTATTGCACATAAAGAACTAGTCCAGTCAAATAATGATGATACATAGATTCATAGTGACACAAAATAAGGAGGATAAATGTTTCAATTTATTTTTTTTTAAGTTGATATTCAGTCAATATTGATATGGACCTTATGTGACCCCGATGAATATTCCTATAACAGAACGATTATAATCATATTCATATTATTCTTTTTATTTCAGCTCACATTAATAATAGCAAGATATAATCCATTCAAAAGAATTTAACTTTTACTGAACGTATGCATGTTGCAAGAAGAGAAAATTGATAATGAGAGGTCAAACATTGTAACGGAGTCAAATTAATTAGTGTTACGAATGCCGTTCGAATAGTAAAAACACATTGTCATAAACATTATTTTCGTACTCATGACAGTGGAAAAATCAATGATAATGAGTTAATTATCATCTGATTTGTTAGCGAAGTCAAAAGTCAGAATCTCTTAGTGTATCAAAACTTTGTCAACCATTATAAAATATTTGCTTTTTGAGCTTTCTTAGCTATTACATAACTGGCACATTATAACTTGCACATAAACATGCAATGTTGAAATACAAAATGACAAATATTAACCAAAACATAGACACTCGGCGGTTTCATGACTTATAAATATCAATATAACAGTATTTACTATTTAGCTAAATTGAATTTTAGTCAAATTATCTTCAATTTGAAAATTTTAATTAATATGAAAATGTGAAAAGGTAAGAAGATAATTATTATACCTTAACCGTTAAACAAAACATTGGAATAGTAAACCATGTTGAAATTTATTATATCATGTTCCAGAATGTGTTAGTCTAATATAATAACGAAATATACACACAAAAATGTTTACTCTAACAATGTAATAAAAAGTTGATGAGAATAAAATGTAAAAGGCGTCAAATATTCAGCGTCCATCGAGCAAGAATTGCATTGAAAATGTATAGGTTTTTTTTATTTTGATCGCACGCGAACTGGTCGTTTACTGAACGAAACAAAAAGTCTAGCTGGTCTCAAAAGACACATTGTCCTCTTCGATGCTAATATGTTTTGTAACATGTTTAATGCATTACTTGACAAAAGTTACGACAATATTGACTAGAAAAAGAAGAAACAGTATGACAACAAAATGATCACATGTTCAAAGTTTTATTTGTTTCTGTATGTGGTCGTGCCTTTTATTTTAAAGCCACTTCTTCATATTGGTAATAAATAAAATAAAACCAACAACAAAAACAAATAATTAAATAATCAAATATTATGTTTTGTTTTCTGAATTCAAAGTGTTTTTAATGAAATATTAATATATGTTATAGTATACAAAATCACCAATATCTTTAATGATAAAAGGCATTTGAAAATTATTTATTATGAAATGTTTTGAGGTTTTCGCTTTGATTTAACCTCTTTATGTGTCCTAAATAATGTCTTTAAGGGGGCTCAAAACATACAATTTTGGTAGGGTATTAAATTATTTGGTCAAATTCAATCGCATCTCCTTTCTGTCAAATTTCGTGTTATAATAAATTTTAGCTCCGAGGTGCTCCGATTTGGGTCCAATTCAGAAATAGGAGATCATCTTTGACCGATGGCTATCTATCATTAGACAACGTATACATGTACTGATCTTTATAGAACATTATGCATCTTTTGACTATTTCTTATCTTGTCTGTTTTATTGTTGCATCCTTGCCAGTTTACTTAAGATCACTGGATTCTGTATATATTATATTTAATTTTCTTATTGATTCTGGTCAAATGTCAAATCTATGATGTCATTGCTGAAATAAAGAGACTTAATCGTCTCTCTTTTAATCCGAACATATTTTGTCTGATGACGTATTCGCTTGTCTGTAATCGTTTTCACAGATATTGTTGCGTTATCGGCAAAATATCCACGTCCAAATCATTAATCCTCTGGCAACAGAAGAAATGATATCTTTTTCGTCATTTGCATTATCTTCTTTTTTAATGAATTTGTAATTGAGTAACGATGTTAGAGGATTACATATTCCCGGGACAAAGAGCTAACAGTGTGCGTAGCCATTTTTTTTTCTTATTGACGAATGAAAAAAATGAGATTTGTTTTTTTTTTGCTTATATATTTATAAATTGCTCTCTTTAAATGAAAATGTTATTGATATGAAAATGTACAAAGTTTAAGTAATTATCCATTATACATTATGTAAAGAATTAAACAAAGAAATGAAATAGCAAATTATCTTGAGAGTCATTAAAATTATCTTAAAATGTATTTCAGTTTTCATTTATTATATTATGAACAAACCAAATAATTGAAAAACTATCTAAATACTGAAAATATGTTATGTCATGTTCCGGAATATGCAAAGGGAATAAAGGTTAGAAAACCACTAAACATTCAAACCGTTAACCCAATACAATAAAAAATTGCTCGCGTCCATCGACCAAAATAACTTGTTCACAGTTTTTCTTTGTGGGGGCGCCTTTTTTATATTGGGAAGTTGAATTCTTTTCATCCTAAAAAGTCTTTAGGTACCATAAAACTGACATTTTGGCTATTGATAACAAGCAAGAAAACGTTTTGCTCCCTTGAGGACAAATTATTTCAAATGGATCAAATCTCACATTCGCCCGGACGATATTTCCACTTGAGGACAAGTTATTTTAAATGAATCCACACGATTTGCTTTCTGGAGAACACTTTATTTCAAATGATGCCAAGAGATGTGCTTTCTTAAGGACAATTAGATACGTTTAAACTATTTAGTTTATGCAAATTTATTTTAGTTCGATTGTGTTGGAAGCTTATTGAAAGACTCCGTCTCT